CCCCCCCCCCCCCCCCCCCCCCGGGGTTTAAGTAGATAATCAGAGAAATCAAGTATCAGACTAAATTAGGGAAATCTGTACAGGCTTTGACCGGAGGACTGAGAGAGCGAGTGCAGATAGCTACCAAGTTTGGGATAAGTTGGAAAGATGGGAAAGTGAAAATTAGTGGTGACCCAAAATATGTGAGGGCTGCCTGTGAAGCAAGCTTGAAGCGGCTTAACATCGACTGCATCGATCTCTATTATGCTCATCGAATTGATACCAGTGTGCCTATTGAAGTCACGGTTTGCCTTCTTCCCTAACCTTATTCTTTTGGTACTGTATTTAGTTTAGAATTTCATACAATGATGAAATTTAAATGAAGCCTATCATCTTTAATATGAAAAATGATAATAATATTTCTCTAAACCATGGATCGCATCTATCCTTGACATTGTTGGCTCATTCTTGAAGATCGTGTTTTCTTTGTCTTTTACTGAACACCTTTGATGGAAGTTTTGCTTGACTGCAATCTCTTTATCTTTTCGGTGAACAATTGTGACGAAATTTTTATTTTATAGGAAGAATGAAGATCCTGTATTCGAGGGAACTTGTGTGAGACAAGAATTCAAATCTGTGTGTGTAAGAGAGAGAGAGAGTTTCTGCAAGTACATCATAGCATGTTTAAGTGATTTTTTGTTTCAAAAATGTTTGGAAAAGTTACCTTCTTCTTAATTTGATGTAAAAATAATAATTTACTTATTGTCTAATAATTAACTTACCTTCTTTCAGTTTCAATTTATGAAATAAATTACTTATTTTAAAAATTATTTACTTATATGCAAACTTTTTTAAGCTTAGCGTTAAACATGCTTTGGGCCAAGTTTTGTTCTGGTCCTTCTAGGATTATAGCTAGATAAACAGTTGAATAGTAGTTTGCATATTTTACAGGTAGCATCAGGAGTCATTCCTTCTCCAACCATGACTAACCCACACTTCATCACCAAATTGGTCTAAACTTTCAACCAGCATTTGACATCTGATTTGATGAATTATCCAGAGGGCTTAAAAATTTCTCTTTCCTATCAAGCTTTTGTTTTTGCGTGTTTTTTCCCCCTTTTTCTGTGTGTGAGTGGATAAGAAAGAAATCAATCTCCACACTTGACCAGCGCTGATCCTAGATTGCTATTCACTGCTATTTTCTGATACCAATCAGCATTGATTCTTAATTTCTTTGGCTCAACTAATTTACCTTTAACTCTCTATTTACCATTTGAAGATGAGCTTCTGTATGAGAAGTTTTAAAATATGCCTTGATGAACTTCAGTATTTTGTTTAGCTGGGCACCATTTACGTACTTTAATTGGTTTCCAAGCTTTTCACTTAATTATAGTTATTTTTAGCTTATATGTGATACCCTCTGATGTAAATATAGTTCTCTTCTTTGATAAGTGGTGCAACTTCACCTTGAATGTGATGCCTAAGTCCTGCCGTGATTTCCTAGTTTCCCATCTCTTTACTCTCTTCATCTTAATTTTCTTCAGAAAAACAGCCCCTTGAAATCATTAAGTCTGATCACATCTCATCACATTTTACACTTACACGCGTAGTTCATTTTAAACCAATGACTATATAAATTTACCCTATTCATACTGGAGTAATTTGTCTTAGTATATTTCCAGAATAAGATTTTGATGCATTTGGTGGTAATGTTAACTTAACTTTGATATTAGAAATTACTGGTGTATTTTTACTTTAATTTGTTAACCTTGCTTATACAACTGAAATTAGCACTCCTTTCTCAATTCGGTATCTTTTTTTTATAAAGAGAGAGGTAACTTTCCTGGATACATGCAATCCATTTCATGTGCTGAAGTATATATCATTTAATTATCTCTCTGTCATAATTATTTGAGTAGAAGAATCCCATATGTAGTATAACAAAAAATCGACATTTATTGCTTGCTTGGCTAAGTTAAACAAGTGCTAATAAGCAGTGGATTCCCAAGGAATGTGTGGTTTAAAAGTAGTAAAAGCTGTTGTTCCTACGAAATGTATGGATAATGATATAGAGTTTGGTCAGCTTATTGCAATTATAAGCTTTGCCAAACATTCATTTAGTTGGACAAACAACCCACATCTCTTGGTACTGAACTAGGAAACTAATTTCCTCACAGCTTCAGCCTTGATTCCATTAAAAACTTGGTTCTCATTATTATAATACCCAGAACTCATTGGCTCCGTTTATTGGCCTACTTTAATCAATTCTTGGCTAATCTGAGCATGAGAGAGAGTGACCAGCAGGTATATTGACTAAAACTGTTATTTGACTCCGTTTCTAATGATGTTAGCATTTTTAATTTGTTATAACTGTACTCATTTTTTAATTTTGGTTAATGGTGCTCCTCTTAATTTCGACTTTCATACTTTTGCCAGATGGGAGAACTCAAGAAACTGGTTGAAGAGGGGAAAATAAAATATGTTGGTCTCTCAGAGGCCTGTGCTTCAACAATCAGAAGGGCTCATGCCGTCCATCCATTAACTGCTGTTCAGATGGAGTGGTCATTGTGGTCAAGAGATTTAGAAGAAGAAATAATTCCTACTTGCAGGCAAGGAGTCTCTTGCATTTGTCAATAATCTTATAACATTCTACAAGATAATTATGTGTTGTATTCATCTGTCTTGTCATTAGGGAACTTGGAATTGGAATCGTCCCTTACAGTCCACTGGGACGGGGTTTCTTTTCGCTAGGTGCCAAGATGGTAGAGAACTTGTCTGAGGGTGACTTTCGTAAGGTTGGTCCATATATTCGCACATGTTTATCCTTCTTGCTATTCATTTGTGTTGAATACTTGTTAATTTCATGTTCTTATTTTACATTCTGCTAGCTTCTTTTTGTATGTTTGGCAAAGCTTATATTTGCTTATCAGATGGTCAAACTCCATTTTTATCCACACATTTTGTAGGACCTATCATTTTTTCTACCTTTACCCACTTATCTACTGCACATTTCGTAAGATCCACAATTTATAATTTGATAAAAGCCTTGCCAAACATGCTATTTATTACTCCCTTCATTAAAATTTTCAAAACAATGGAGCTCTGAAAATTTGTCATGCCAACACTAATGTAAAGACAAGGTTCCGAGAAATGCTGTTCTCCTTTTTTTCTGATAATTCTGTTTAAAGATGGGTGATTTAGCTTTTTATGCTGAAAGGGCACCTTTTATTCTCTAG